ACATCCACACCCTGTAACATCCACATCCACTCCCACACACTATAACATCCACATCCACACAAACACCCACACAATTCAACATTCTCCATATTAATATTTCAACATCATACCCACACATTCCAACATCAGACCCCAAATTCCAATATCAGATCCCACATTCCAACATCAGACCCACACATTCCAACATCAGACCAACACATTCCAACATCAGACCCACACATTCCAACATTAGACCCATACATTCCAACATTAGACTCCACACATTCCAAATCCATTTTACCCACACATTCCAACATTAGACCCACACATTCCAACCACTTACCCCCACATTCCAACATTAGACCCACACATTCCAACATTAGACCCACACATTCCAACATCAGACCCACACATTCCAACATTAGACCCACACACCCACTCGTTCCAACATTAGACCCACACATTCCAACATCAGACCCACACATTCCAACATCAGACCCACACATGCTTCCAACATTAGACCCACACGCTCCAACATTAGGACTCCACACGCTCCAACATTAGACCCACACGCTCCAACATTAGACCCACACGCTCCAACATCAGACGACACTTTCCAACATTAGACCCACACGCTCCAACATCAGATCCACACAATACAACACCATACCCACACGTTCCAACATCAGACCCACACATTCCAACATCAGACCCACACATTCCAACATCATACCCACACATACCAACATCAGACCCACACATTCCAACATCAGACCCACACAATACAACACCATACCCACACGTTCCAACATCAGACCCACACATTCCAACATCATACCCACACATACCAACATCAGACCCACACATTCCAACATCAGACCCACACAATACAACATCATACCCACACATTCCAACATCAGACCCACACATTCCAACATCAGACCCACACATTCCAACATCAGACCCACACATTCCAACATCAGACCCACACATTCCAACATCAGACCCACACAATACAACATCATACCCACACATTCCAACATCAGACCCACACATTCCAACACCATACCCACACATTCCAACATCAGACCCACACATTCCAACATCATACCCACACATTCCAACATCAGACCCACACATTCCAACATCATACCCACACATACCAACATCAGACCCACACATTCTAACATCATACCCACCCACACATTCCAACATCCAGCACCACCAGAGTATGAAATAAGCCAAAAGCTAGACATCAGGGCTGGTAATTTCAATTTGTTACCAGCCCAAAATGGATTAACCAGACCAGACAATCCAAAGAAAATAACTCAATTTTTAGTTACAATGAATAATTTAATGAACCTGAGACATGTATTTACTGTCTAACAGTCTATACACAACAGTCATTTTCAGAGAAATCCCACTATGAGTTGTAGTAAGACTCGAAGGGATCACCCTCCTTGTCCTCAACTCCAGCAGCCTGGAGAATCTAAAATTTTCACCAGACCATCGGACTGGCAAAGCTATAAATTTAGACCGTCCGCCACAAATCTAGTCAGATGGGCCTTATTTCATACACTTTTACCACACACTGTAACATCCAACACCACACATTCCAACATCATATCATCACAATGGATATATCCTTGTCAGAAACCCACGGATCTGAGCCTGACGTTGATACCTGACACTCTGGGGGAGATTACAGACAAAGGTTGCCGTGGCCGACATCCTCCCAGACATCTTGTACTACTGTCACTACAGCTGTGGAAGCGGCAGGATATCTTGTCTTCCACACAAACAGAGTGTTCATGATAACTCATTGTTCCGAGTGTTGTGTAAGCAAAGGGGGTCTACACACAATCAGTCTGTGACTCTTGCCACTTGTCCGAAGACCAAGCCAAGTAAATGTCTTTCTGTCAAGTGATCCCAGCTCAGATAAAACAATGTTTTGACACTAAAGGCTGTTAAAAATGTTACCAGTTAGATAACTAACATCCTGGACGAGTTTAATGCCACTTTTACCAGAATTTTAGTCATATCATAGTGTATTAAGAACATGTAAATAATAATAGTGTTTGTCCCACCAAAAACATGATTGTTGTGTGTTTGTGATACCACTCATGGACTCCACATCAGTGAACGTAACTGAACACACATAGATGTTAATCAAGTTGGTAAACACCATTCTCACTACATTCAGTATTTTACAGGAGCTTCAGGCAATATGTCGTCCGATGTCTCACACCACATCCTGAACCACGAGAGATAAGCCATCAACAACGTTGTTTATATTCGCTTTGTTATTTAATGTATTAGCTTTGTAATAATTTGAATAAACTTGATATAAATCACCTCTCTCTCCACTAAACAACAACATATGACAAAATTATAACTCACAAACATATTATGCCTAAGTTAGTCAGCATATGTTGTCCATATGGCCTGCCTGATAAAGGCTGTCTCTGCTCAGGCATATTACCAGTGCTCAGGCAAATTAGATTCAAGTGTTTAACCAACATCTTACAAACAAACAGTCCCAAAAAGCATTGTGCTTGACAACTGTTTGACGTCTCTCAAAATGGACATTAACGATAGTCGACAATTCTACACCTCAATAATAGTGACACAAAGTCAGACCACGTTGTTTGTAGAATATCTGGCCCTGTCAAAGACAGCAATACTGTCTAGCCTGTGGCAGGATATGTACCTTCAAATTGTCTCAACATGATCCACCCTTGACAGGATCATTGTCGTACGTGACAAGATTTGATTCACGACATATCGAAACTCAAAACATGCCACAATACAAGTCCATCATCAAAATTAACAGAAGTCTGACAAAAATATTCAGTGTGTTTGAGTGAGTGAGTGAGTGATAACAGCACAGAGAACAATGTCTGTCCCTGTACAGATCATCATTCACAGACCACTCAGTGAATCAGTTCACCTACATACAACACAGAGAACAATGTCTGTCCCTGTACAGATCATCATTCACAGACCACTCAGTGAATCAGTTCACCTACATACAACACAGAGAACAATGAGATCATCATCATCAGATCATCATTCACAGACCACTCAGTGAATCAGTTCACCTACATACAACACAGAGAACAATGTCTGTCCCTGTACAGATCATCATTCACAGACCACTCAGTGAATCAGTTCACCTACATACAACACAGAGAACAATGTCTGTCCCTGTACAGATCATCATTCACAGACCAGACCACTCAGTGAATCAGTTCACCTCCACATACAACACAGAGAACAATGTCTGTCCCTGTACAGATCATCATTCACAGACCACTCAGTGAATCAGTTCACCTACATACAACACAGAGAACAATGTCTGTCCCTGTACAGATCATCATTCACAGACCACTCAGTGAATCAGTTCACCTACATACAACACAGAGAACAATGTCTGTCCCTGTACAGATCATCATTCACAGACCACTCAGTGAATCAGTTCACCTACATACAACACAGAGAACAATGTCTGTCCCTGTACAGATCATCATTCACAGACCACTCAGTGAATCAGTTCACCTACATACAGCACAGAGAACAATGTCTGTCCCTGTACAGATCATCATTCACAGACCACTCAGTGAATCAGTTCACCTACATACAACACAGAGAACAATGTCTGTACCTGTACAGATCATCATTCACAGACCACTCAGTGAATCAGTTCACCTACATACAACACAGAGAACAATGTCTGTCCCTGTACAGATCATCATTCACAGACCACTCAGTGAATCAGTTCACCTACATACAACACAGAGAACAATGTCTGTCCCTGTACAGATCATCATTCACAGACCACTCAGTGAATCAGTTCACCTACATACAGCACAGAGAACAATGTCTGTCCCTGTACAGATCATCATTCACAGACCACTCAGTGAATCAGTTCACCTACATACAACACAGAGAACAATGTCTGTCCCTGTACAGATCATCATTCACAGACCACTCAGTGAATCAGTTCACCTACATACACAACACAGAGAACAATGTCTGTCCCTGTACAGATCATCATTCACAGACCACTCAGTGAATCAGTTCACCTACATACAACACAGAGAACAATGTCTGTCCCTGTACAGATCATCATTCACAGACCACTCAGTGAATCAGTTCACCTACATACAACACAGAGAACAATGTCTGTCCCTGTACAGATCATCATTCACAGACCACTCAGTGAATCAGTTCGGTTCTACATACAAGCACAGAGAACAATGTCTGTCCCTGTACAGATCATCATTCACAGACCACTCAGTGAATCAGTTCACCTACATACAACACAGAGTGAGTGAGTATGGTTCACAGACCACCAGTGAATCAGTTTTAGCAATATTCCAGCAACATCATTCGGCAGGGGACAACCAGAAATGGGCATTCACCACAATGTCACCCATGAACAATGGGATTCGAACAGTGGTCTTCGCTGATGTCTGTCCCTGTACACAACGCTTTTAACCACTAGGCTACCATTCACAGACCACTCAGTGAATCATACATACAACACAGAGAACAATGTCTGTACCTGTACAGATCATCATTCACAGACCACTGAGTGAATCAGTTCATCTACATACAACACAGAGAACAATGTCTGTCCCTGTACAGATCATCATTCACAGACCACTCAGTGAATCAGTTCACCTACATACAACACAGAGAACAATGTCTGTACCTGTACAGATCATCATTCACAGACCACTCAGTGAATCAGTTCACCTACATACAACACAGAGAACAATGTCTGTCCCTGTACAGATCATCATTCACAGACCACTCAGTGAATCAGTTCACCTACATACAACACAGAGAACAATGTCTGTCCCTGTACAGATCATCATTCACAGACCACTCAGTGAATCAGTTCACCTACATACAGCACAGAGAACAATGTCTGTCCCTGTACAGATCATCATTCACAGACCACTCAGTGAATCAGTTCACCTACACACAGCACAGAGAACAATGTCGTCACTCACCAAGTTGAGTAGAGTTCCGCTCGATCCTTCGAACAACAGCGACATGTTACAGAACATCACAGACCAGTTGAGGGTCATCTGCCACTCTCGGTTCTTGTCGTACATAGGGTGCACAACATCCGGCAGACGGAGGACCATGTCACCAAACATGGCCGTGTTCTCGTAGATCTTCGACACAGCTGTTGACAAAAAAACATATTTCCACATCTATGTTAAGCTACAACAATTCAGTGAAGGACATTTGTACAAGTATGGTGTTCTAAGGTGGTGTTCTAAGGAGTGTTCTAAGTCATATATTTGAAAAGAAGTACTAAAACTCACAGATCTTGATGATCTATTTCACAGAGGACAAGACATCCCTGTTTGGGATGAGTCCCTTCCGGGTTCCAAACCCACACACTCAGAGTTAGGCACAGAGATTTCTAAATCTCTAAACAAGGACATGTCAAGTAACAGTTATTTTGTTAAAAACCAGATTTTAATTTTTTTAATATTCAGGTGGATTTTATTAGTATTTAAAGATTGTGTATTTGAATGCTGCAATCAATGCAATAATGTAAAACTATACATTAAATTTCTCCTTCTTTATTGATCATGTTATCGCTGAAGTCACCTCCCAAACATGAACATTCATTGGAAATGTTTTAAAATCAAATTATAAAGTATTACTGACATTTGTTACAGAATTAGGACTGAAAATTGACCTCTGAGCAGGTCTAGATAAATCCCAATATTATTTACTTCTGTTTCATTTTTTATGCCTAAAGAAAGCAGCAAGTGTCAACAGTACTTACATTCCTGCTTGGATTCCTCCTCCGGGAAGGGGTCTCCGGGCAGCACCCCCCACTGAGTGATGTTCACCCTTGCCTGTGCCAGAGTCTGGGGGAAGAGTGAGTGTGTGAGTGAGTGAGTGAGTTTAGTTTTATGCCACACTCAGCAATATTCCACCTATATAGCGTGGTCTGTAATCAGTTCATGAGTAGTTTAATCTGGACCAGACAATCCAGTGATCAACAGCATGAGCATCGATCTACACAATTAGGATATCATGGCACGTGTCTACCAAGTCATCGAGTCTGACCACCCGATCCCGTTAGTCGCCTGTTATGACAAAGTGTGGGTTACTGAAGATCAATTCTAACCCGGATCTTCATGGGTCTCTGAGGGAGATGCAACATGACACATATAGTGGATAATAGCTCATCTACATCACTACATCGTCACTGAGTCTAGATCCGGCGAAGCAGAGGTAGATATCAAGAGATGCATCCCCAGGCAATCAACCAAGACACTGAGCCTAACAACCTGATCCAAGTTAGTCACCACTCACAACAAGCAATAGTTCTTTTTATTGTTTAACACTGCACTAAGCCATATTCCAGCTATATGGCATCTGTCTGTAAATAGTCGGGTCAGGATCAGACAAGCCAGTGATCAAAATCATGAGCATCGATCTACACAACTGGGATACGATGACATGTGTCAACCAAGTCAGCGAGTCTGACAACCCGATCCCGGTAGTCGCCCCTTAATCAGGATCTTCACAGGTAAAAGCAATTGAGTTTTGGGAACCTTTTCTAGTCTACCAAGGATACAAACTGGCCAAAGCCTGCTAGTCTGAGTCAGTTTAATATCAAACATATACTAAGGGTGAGAATTCATGCTTTCTATGAGGAGTCCTTATATGTATGTTCCAGCTCCATGAAACACTTAGATAATAATAATAACAACAGCAACAACATTACAAAACGTCTTAAGCCAGTGATACATGTATACATCCACCAGTAAAACTTATGTGAGCATCTCTCATGATCTCGATGTTCAATATAATATTAAGACATTATTCCAAAGGGTCTTGTCATCCACAGTGAAATGGAAGGGGGAAAAATTTCTAAATAATATTTTTTATTCACTGATGAGCATAGTCTACAGTTATAGGAATATACTTTATTTAACACAGGGTGGAAATAACTTTAAAATTGCTAGTGTACTCAGGTACACTGGCACATGTAAAATCACTTGCCCTGTTAATTTTCCACTATACCTGCCAATTTTCTTGTTGATTTTTCAAATAAACAACATAATTAACATTGGAAGTCAACTGGACACCGGTACAGCGTGATATAGAAATTTGCTTGACCGACAGCATATAAAAAAACCACTGACTGGGACGTTGGGTAATGGGTTATTTTCACCCCTGTAACAGTGTGTGAAAAGTCAGATTATGAACATCCTGCACATGACAATAACCATGACAACGTACTATGAACAGTTGCTGCAGCATGATCTCCACCAGCTTGTGGCGCTGTACATTGTCTGCGAAATGCTGCAGGGATTTGATGGCATTCAGTTGAAGTGATCGGTGTTCTGCAAACAGCTTCTTGACTAAAGCTCTGGTTAGGGAAGATAACTGAAAACTACATCCTGTCTAATTCCCAATAGTGTCTTCACGAAATATATGTGCATGTGTAAATGTTGATAAATCAAAACTCAGAAGACGGACCAAAGGACAATAGTACTCTTTCTTAGTAAATATTCAAATTCAGCCTGTATTCAGAATGCGGAAATTAGAAAAGTCTGTTACATATCGCCAACACACAAAGTCAGCCGCCTAACCCGCTCAGCCACCGCCGTGACTTCCACAAATGGAAGTCGGACAACTGGTAGTCTAGACTGCGGAGTTTGTGTACCCCTCCGATAAGTGTAAATTGGCAAGGCTCCCACGGCTGAAAGCTATGACTACACAATGCCATTTAGAAAGTGGTCGAATGTAACATACGTTATATTTGGGATTACACTTTCTTAGTAACAAAAGTACTAGAATCTGTTAAACATGACTCTATTTGAACTTATTTAAATATTGAATGTTATATTACTAGTGTATAACCATGGTCGTAACAAACAAACGTTACTATAAGTATAGACTAACACTTAGTCTCTGAATATATATAATTTTGATTGTAACAAATAAACTCAATTAATTTGAAAAGGAGCCCAGACCAGAGATTCAGAACCTGGGGAAATCTAGACTTGCTACATTTAGGGCTTTAGCACTGCAAGGAGGGCTAGGCTGTAGGGAAAATAGTATGGTTCAGGGACTGTGATACAGACCTATATAAGTACTGACATGCAATTAACTCATCTTACATATATATCAAGTATTATATATTACTATTAATCATGTTAATTAGCCCAACATCTTAATTAATACAGAAAAAAATCCTGATTCGTTCTTAATGGAATAGAAAAGTTTACATGACAACAAAATGCACAACAGGCTACTAAAAATTAAGAGATGTAACAAATATAGCCATATATGAATATAACACAGAGAGGATACATCTGTCAAAAGAGGAGATCTTCCCAGTGACAATATCGCCACTCTCATCGTCTGCTTGGCCTTCGGTTGGCTTGGCTGCATCTCCGGCTTGGGCTGTCTTCAATTTCCCTGTGTCGTCCCCAGAAGTTGTGCAAATGTACAACAATACCACCAGAATTAACGCAGAACGTAAATGGTGAAAATAGAACATCTTGACAGAAGCTAACATATAAAAAACAGCAAAGAGCTAGGCTGGAATCCTCATTGTTGTCATCATACAATTACACGTGGATAACCGGGGATTCCCTTCCGCTTTTGAAAACGAGGCCGGAAAGGATACACGCGCATGTCCAAAAGGAATTCCCTCACCATGGCTGACGTGGAATTCCTCACTGATCAAGTAAATGTGGTTTTTGACTGATTAATAACATAATTTCATCATTTTATTTCACTTGATTATCATCTCACACAATCGTTCTTAACTATCTGAAAATGGATGTAGGTTAGAATGAAACAATTAAATGTGTTGTGCGTGTTGAGCTGTTGAGAGATCAGTGATGATGTTCATCATGGTTCATCGGATGATTTGTTGTGGTTGTTGAACATGACAGTTTATATATTTCTGCAGGGTTTTAGACTCAACTTTAACATTTTACCCTCACTTCATTATAAGATAAATGAAGATTATACCTTGTCCTGTCGATATTATAACATACTGACACCTTCACTGTCGGTGACACTGAAAAGCGAAAATAGAAGATAGTAGCCCAAACGACTACCACTGGTAGTTCCATTTTATTTGTAAATATTTATTTGGTAAGAGTTCCTTACGTACCCCCACCTAATTTTTAACTATAAACTCTAGACTAAACTATAGTGTTTGCTCATCACAAAAACCGGCGAGGGGTACGTAAGGAACTCTTTCCATATCTTAATTGCATAGATCGATGCTCATGATGTCAATCAATAGATTGTCTTGGAGAGTTTTTGTTTTTAATCTCCACTGATGATTACATGTTTGTAGCTTTTGTAAGGAGCCCTGATTGAGCTTTGTCTGGCAGAGTTTAAACTTTAGGGAAGGTATAATAGATAGCCATGTTTTATCGTCAAAAGATATGTACGGTATGTGTGTGTAGCAGGGCGTGGAGTCATCCCACAGATGACATCCTTACCTTGTCAGCTTGCTGACGGGGTTAACCTCTTTGGTCATGTGGACAAGGCATCCGACTTCGGATCAGAAGGTCCGTGGTTCGAATTCGGGACTCAGATATTTTATGGCCGCTATGTGTGCAAGAGAAAATGTCTTCTTGTGAATGCTTTCTGAGTATATACTATTGCAGCGTTTTGTCTTGAAGATGATAATACACATATTTGAATCTGTCATTTCTTGAAAGATTCACAATGAAACTGTTATTCCAGGTTAGAACTGGGCCCCAATAGCCAGTGCTGTTTATGAGAGAAGACCAAGTTAGTTAATCAGTAGGTCTGACTCAGGGCCGTGGTCATCATACCCTGATTGTGTGGATCAGTGTTCTTAATATCAATCACTGGATTGAATTGTCTCATCATAATTAACAAAACATGGTTCAGCCTTTCCCGTCATGTCACATATATCTAACAACAAACTGGACGACCATATCATTTGTTTCAGGAAGTAGATATACCTCTGGAAGGAGACATAACAGTGCCAGGAATCGCCAAGTCAGATGATGAGTTATCTACCTTGGATGAACCTGTCAAGGAGACCATTGTAAGTTACCATGACTACTCAGGGTTCACAGGAAGAATGTGTGTCTGATAATGATGGAGTTTGATCATGGTGTCACGTTCCTGATTCAGCCTGATTATGATACTTGGTTTACCATCTAGGACGTCTTTCTTCCCACCATAACCATATGTTAACATATAGCTGAAATAGTGCTGAGAGTGTTGGTAGACCCACTTGACTCACTCCTTGTTAGGAGTAACTAGGGTTGGATAACTTTAAATTTCCCATTGCCACCAACCATGCTTCAAATCATAAGTGTGACTTAAGTGACCAGTTTGACCAATTCCAGCAATATCACGTCAGGGGACACCGGAAATAGGCTCTATACTTTGTACCCATGTGGGGAATCAAACCTGGGTCTTCGACATGAAGAGTGAACACTCTTACCACTAGGCTACCATATCACCTTTCAAATCATAAAAACATTTGACATTTCTCATGTTATATTAGTAATTTTATTTATAATTCATTTGTTGCCACTGTTAATTACTGTTAATTACTGAAAAATATATCCACAACAGCTTCTACTAAGTTCTAGAGCCATTACTATGATGTACACATTAATGTTCTAACTAAAAAGTCATTTCATTGTCTGCAAATTACAGGATGTTTTTCAGTATAAATGGTATATATAGTATGTAAAATACACACAGAACCAACACTGAAAATGCTTGATGTTTTCCTGCAGAAAAGGGACCTAACTGCTGTAGGGAAGAAGTTCTTCCATGTGCTGTATCCAAGGACAAGTTTTGTGCTGCTGAAAGAATGTAAGTTGCCATGGTTATTAGAGCATGGCTTAGGTTTTAACAATTTAATGATAAATTGATTGCATTTGACAAGACTAGAAAATATATTCTATATTGGGCAATGGTAGTGTATGGATTATAGTTGAAATGGGGATACATACCTGTATCATGGTACAGAACAAACATGGCGAACGATGGCACTTTAACAAACAAAATGACAAACAGCCAAACTTTGAAAATTTGATGTGAACATTCATGATATGGGTTATAAACCAATTATCAAGTACAAGATCAATGCTTCAGTTCTTTCTCAAAATGTTGTTATGGAACATAGATAATATCACAGATATTCTTTGGTTATTAGTTTTAGGATTCATGGTAGAACAGCTAAAGCTTTGGTGTATTGTACATTTGTGCATCAGCTTTGCCACCTCAGCTGTCAAGGCGAAAGCCTGTGGTATTGGTCTAGTGAACACAGACATAGTTTAGTCATGGTCAGGAACATTGTAATTAACCTGATGAAGAATAGTCCACACTGCCACATCCGGGTCATGGCAGGCTGTTCCTAACCGCTAGTGTTGGGAATTGTTGTATCTCATAATTGATGATTGCTTCATTGCAACTGATCAATCATCAAAAATAATTGGTTAGCCATTCATGAAATTTTCCTGTTTATTTTGTTAATGCACAAAACATAAAGAAAAAACATGTAGTTCTTGGGAGTTTTTGGCAAATTTCACATCTTGAAAGGATGACTAATATGTTAGGAACATAAATGTCTTGGGATCTTTAAAATAAATTCAATCATGACTTGGAAATAGTGCTCAGGAAATGTAACTGACAAAACCAACCTTGTGAAAAATATTGTTAATGCAAAAGGTGTTCCAGAATTGTTTGTGTTGATTATGAGAAAACATGATCGATTGCTTGTTCGCTTATACCCGACCAATCTTAGATTATTTCAATTAATCGGACCACCACTAATACCTGCTATATATGTTGTATATATTTACATGTTAAGCCAGTTTCCATATGAGAGCTGTTATCTATTCTTGCTACATGTACTGTTTGGTTACATGTTAAGCCAGTTTCCATATGAGAGCTGTTATCTATTCTTGCTACATGTACTGTTTGGTTCCATGTTAAGCTTGTGTTGATGTTAGTTATGTTATCTTGCGGTGTTGTCCATGTTCCAGGGGATCTGTGGGGACCGCTCATCCTCTGCGTCTTCATGGCCATGTGAGTTTGTTGGAATGTTGCCAAATTAGAAAGCTGAAAGCAGCATAAACAGTACTCACTCAGAGTTATCAGGGTTGTATTGTTATATTGAAGGACAAGTTCACTTACGTTGTGTTCAAAGGAACAAGTGTCGAGAAATGTTTTTGTTTGATCATCAAAACAATAGGTAAGATGGCCAAAAGGAATAAATAAGACTGCTATCTGCATAACAAGCTTTCCACTCATTTATCCATGCAGTGTGGATGTGTACTTGTTACAACTTCAAAGGGAAACTACTGAAAATGTGTTTGAATTTTAATAATCGTGAAGATAGGGATCTGCCTGTTTGTAAACATGGTAAATCATTACATATATAAGGAATACAATTTGAAATTACTGGTTAGGCCACACCAATTGATTTCTTGTTTTACAGATTTTTGTCCTCAGAAAACCTAAAGGCAGGAGGGAAAAATATAAAAATAAAAATCATCAGTCAATGTAATATTCCTTTTAAATACTAAATTTATGAAGTGTATATGGGTCAAAACACAATCTAAAAACATTTTCTCGCTCATTCACATTTTTGGCCAATAAAAATATTAAAATTTAATTTTTTGAGCGGGGAAAATTAATTTATATTTTTTTTCTTATTGAAAAAATACGACCAGCGGATCTGTAAAACAAGAAATGAAATTGGTCTGGCCTTACCAGGTTGCCATGGTTACGGTTCCAGGAGGGATATCAGTTTGATTATTCATGTGTAACTGTATAGAAGATGGTGCCATGAGTGGTGTTTGTGATATCTGATGCTGTTCCTGGTCAGGATGCTGCAGGGAGACGAGAAGGTGGACAGCATGCTGGATGGTAGTCCTCAGTTTGCAGAGGTGTTCGTCATCTACTGGGCTGGCGCCTTTGTCGTCACCCTCAACACAAAACTCCTCGGCGGCAACATGTAAGTGAAGCAATGCAGGCTCACCTTGTTGGTCTTGACTTCCTAGAGGTCAGAGGTCAATCACGTGGCAACTGCAACATTGTTTCTAGAATAGAATACTTGTTAAACAATTCTGGGGGTCACCATCCTCGATAATCTTGAGGGTATAATGCTATGATAACTCTCCACTATACCCTATTCACGCGTGGCAAGCGATGATTTTATTACCTCCCTTGGCTGGCTTTTTATCCAATTAGGTGCCTACGCTGGGAAGTTGAGCGCACTCACTCACAACTCACTTTCGCTTTAAATTATCTAACCGCTTAAACTTGGCAACACAATTGATGCAGATGTACTCTGAAAGAAGAAGAAGGAGTTCTTTCATATATTTTTGAAAGTTTCAGATCTGTGAATTTGTCTTTATTATTTCCCAAAAATCTGAGTGGCACTGCTAACAAACCATCGCGACTCACGACCGCTATCTTTGTTGACACTGGCAAGCTCCATTGTAACGGCAGCTTAGCTGATTGGCTACTGTGAGAATGGAGTCAGCCAAGGGAGGTAATAAAATCATCCCCAAGCCGTGGATGCATCCAGGGTATAGTGGAGAGTGATCGTGAACGTGATACCCTGGAGATTATCGAGGATGGGGGTCACATGAAATACCTAAGACAAGCTTATCAATGCCATACAGAGTAAAATGTCCTGTCAGTATTTAACTCTTGACGTTACATATCATTGTAAGTTAATGGGCAAATATTTTTAATCTAGCTAACTGAATCCTGGCTAAATAGTTAAATGTACCATTTTGCATAATGTTAAGTGTCTTGATGCTGTGACTATATCCAGTTACCATGGTAACCAGTAGGTACTGACATCCTGTGTTACAGCTCCTTCTTCCAGAGTGTCTGTGTGTTAGGTTACTGTGTGCTGCCGCTGTGCATCTCCCTCATCGTGTGTCGGATTATCCTGGTGTTTGGTTCCTCGTCAACAGGACTTTTCATCACCCGCTTTATTTTCGTCCTCTTGGGCTTTGGCTGGTCAACGTTTGGTAAGTAGCAAACAAAAGACATCAATTGCAGACTCAACTTTATAATGCATCTATGTTTGAGGCGCCATATCTGTACCCAAGTGTTTTACCAGGGAGGTCTCCATCACTTGAGATTTCCTCCCAAATGGAGCTTACCCTCCAATATTTCAAAAATACTGTTCAAAGTGTAATGACACACAACACGCATGCACAAGCTCTCCCTGGAATAGCTCGTAATCAATGCTGATATATGCATAAGCAGTGAGACCCATGATATGTACTGTCTTATCGATATCTGTTAGGTAGATCTATATCGTGTACATATACAAGCACAAATGAAGGAATGGTAAGAACAGTCCCCAAGCATTGGGGGCAGTTGGATGATTCAGGTGGTCAGGCTAACTTGGCTGACTGGTCGTCATAGTATCCTGCTGGCATGGATGTTCATCATGCTATCCACCACTGGCTTGTAAAGTGGACCACTGACAACACGAACCAGTATCGGGGAAGAGTCTTTCTGGCTTTATGTCAACATTATTGAATGCAATTTTAATGCACAGTGTTAAAATAACTTTAAGAAATAGCATCTTCCGAAATAAGGTTTTGAATAAAATTATGATAATATTGCCAATTGCCCGCCAAGGTAACTTGGTTTGGAATCTGAGATCTATTCATTGGAATATTGCTGAGTGTAGTATTAAACAGCATTCTCTGACTCTCTCCCCCCCCACAGCCTCCACAGCGTTCCTGGGGTCCACTCACCCTCCCAAGAGAACAGTCCTGGCCGTGTACCCTCTCTTCCTCTTCTACTTCATCATCAGCTGGCTCATCATCTCGCACAAAGTCTGATAGGGGGCGCCACTCACGCTATGCCGGAGTATTTATTCTGTGGGACTCAAGTGTGCTGTGTGTGGAAACTTTTGGGTGCAACTATATATGCATGTTTGTCTGTGAGTGCATGAGTGGTTGTATGAGTTCTGTTAATAATTTCAGGATTGTTTGAGTACGAGAGAATGAGAGAGAAGACAATGCGAGTTGATATATTGCTGTACATATGTACAGAATGTTTCAAGTTTCTTTGTGTTATATTGCAGTTGAAGTAAACTTAGGCTCAGTATTATTCGTTACACTGCTATACTAAGTCTAACAAATACTAGTAGAATGTCACGCCAGTTAACCTTTTGGATTGACCAATCAGCACACAGCTTACCAAATCGCGAAAGTTAACATTCACACATACCGTTTAAACCTTTACCTAAAAAACTCGAACGATTCCGAATGCTATTTTCTGCACAATCGCTTCCGAGTGATACACGTGGAGGACGCAATGAGTAAACAGTCGCTGAAAATGGCGGTTTTGTCAATATTCAAGGATGTCATCTTGCGGAAATATAAGCTAATAGTAACCATGTCATTAGAAACCCCTAAGCGTATATACTGCAGGTCAAATATCTGTGTGTTATGCAGATTTTCGTTTGTTGATAGATCAGTGTCAGCTACCAGGGAAAAGAAAATCCAAAAACCGTTTTGTAAGTCCCGCCGAAACCTAACAAGTAGTCGTTGTCTGATTGGTTAAATCTGTTCGTCCGTCTCACGGTTGATTGGATGGTCATAGGTCACTCAAAGGTTATCTGACGCGACCTTCTACTAGGGTTTGTTGGACTCAGTATAGCAGTGTAACGAATAATACTGAGTCTAAGTTTAAGTTTAGACTGTGTTGTATTGTTGCAACATTTGCCGCTTATATAGCAATGTATATCATGTGTTTTCAGCTCAATAGTACTCATAGTGAATATTCATTGCCACTTTGGTTTGGTCAGCCAAGTGACCAAACTACACTTCATCAACTGGACGTTAAACATTCCTGAATCTCCATGTGGTCAGGCTGTAGTCTGCTTCCTGGTTTAAACAAGATTCAGTTTGTCACTTGGGATATTGGCACTTTAAGTTGTAGGAGGGGTCGCAGTGCTTTGCGGAATACACGTTGGGTTACAGAGGTCTTGGTGGAGGGGAGAGGGTTTTTGGAGGGTACAGCAGTGTTAGTCGATGTTTTGGAGGGGAGGGGGTTGGGGAGGGGGTCTGTGGAGGGCAGTATGAGTCATGTAACTTTACAGTTCACTGTTAACCCTTCATGTGCTCACATTGCCAGTAGGTCTCAGTAGCCTCCTGTTCCTGGCTGCACACAGATTAGAGGGTTAATAATATCTGTCAGTTATTTAGAAAATGTTGTACAAGTAAGAAATCTACTGCAATAAGACCGTTTCCCCATGGATTAACACTGAACAGTTCTACACTTAATGAAATATTCTTTGCTTTACCATGTTTCAGAAAGACAGTCTTGTCTCAATTACTGTTGTAAATTCATACAAAAGTTGTCCAAGTCATTGTGGAAGGTTGGTTTGGTCTTTTTAAGCTTCAATAAACTACATGATCTTATTTTATAGTCGTCTTTTAAAATAATTTCAGTTACATGAGATACATAGTGGCCGCAGCATTCTACTTCGTCTTTTGATGATGATGATGATGATGATGATGATGATGATGTATATAAGGATACCCTCCAACTTTTAGATTGTTGTAGTTTGATAAACATAGTAGGAATATATCAAGAAACATCTTATATGAGAATTAAATGGCCAGTCTTGCTGATGCTTTCAGTGTTGGTTAAAGCAGAATATTTGTGTCACTCAATGTTTATCTGAGAGGCATTTAGAAGTTGGATCAGTAAGGCAGGATAACAATATATGGATGATCAACCTTCCTGTTAAAGTGAGAGTGACATTTCAGTGTAGGTTCTAACACCGTTATCAAGCATCATCACTAAATAAAGAAGTTGTTCATTCAGATACTGTCATCTTTCCTTGTTTATGGACCAGTATGTATTATCAATCACATGGTGTTGCTTGTGGTGTGATTTGTTGTGGAATCATGAGCTTATAAGTCAGTATTTACTGGGGTTGTCACGGTCCAACAATGTATTAATACAATGCTACCTTATGATATAATACATCATGTGCTTATTCCACGTAGGCTGGTCTGACGATGTCCCGACTAGTACAAGTGCTTGTACAAGCATGCACCCACACTGCAGTAGTCTTGAACTCTATGTTAAATCCTATTTCACCACACCTCCCATAGTGGTTGAAAAGCAAGAACCTCATTTTACTCATTCATAAGGGACAGTAATGCAGAAATGGGGCACAGTTACAATGTAAATAATGTCATGACTCAAGTAGCATGACATGTATCAATACAGGAGGGGCGTGGCACCATGCATGGCTTGTTTCATCGGTGTAGCTGCTGCTGCTGCTGCTCGGGAAGCAGGGTGATGAGTTGAGGGGAGGATGAGGAACTACTGGCATCTCTGGTGAACATAGATTCGTCCCTACCAAGATAACAATCATGTACAGGAGAGATTTCAAGTTCCAAGTTTTGTCCTTATTCTGTAATTACACTACTTAAAATTATATTTCAAATGAGCGTTAGTTTAGAATACACATGACACAGTGACATCTCCTCTCTAAGATCTGCTGTCTATGCTGTTAATGATGAAGTAATGTTGTTGTCAAGGCAGAATCTGAAGTGTATGTAAGTAATGCATTCCAACAACTACGTAAAACCAGACATGCTTTCCCTTGTTGCCAGCAGTTAACAAAGTCCAGTGTTTATGTGCACCTGTGAGAAGTTGTAGAGTCTCCAGTGCTCCTCCAGTCAGTGTTAATGGAGTCAGGAGGACTTCTTCCCTCATTAACCTAATGGTTAGAGTGCCAGCCTATCATGCTAAAGACCCGGGTTCGATTCCAACATGTGTACAATGTGTGAAGCCCATTTCTGGTGTCCACCGCCATGATATTGCTGCAATATTGCTAAAAGCGGCATAAAATCATTCTTACTTTTACGTCTCTCCCGTCTCCAGAGTAGTGTGCTAGCATCCCCAACAGTTGATGCTTGTTCCAGGGAGGACTTGAAAGAGGATCTGGTGGTGATCAGTATTGGTGGTCACTGGTATGTCTGACCAGACAATGGTATGGCGGGATGTTGCTGACTTCCATGTAAAACAAGATTCACTCTGACACGGGGACTGGTATTCAGACATCAGTTGAAAATACAAACCTATAGACTAAACCCGTAATCTAATACAGTTTGTTAATAAGACTTTTCTTAAGCTCTAGTTATATTACAATGTATTCGAATACATTGGCAGACTTGTTTGGGGTGTCTGTTTTAATATTAAGTATATTTTGTTTATTCTCTCTGTCTGTGATAAGCAGCTGATATGCTATCTGACCAGGTGTTTTTCTTGTGTGTGTTGTGCTGTAATTGATTGTTATGTATATATCTGATTAAATCATGTTTATTTATGAACAATTATATCCACAAGGGGGAATAAACAAGTTGTATATACAACCAAGTATTGTTGTGATGGTGACTAGTCGATGCTGGAAACAGCAGTGGAGTAGAGGCCTTGGGGAAGGAAGCCAGCTGGAGAGGAAGACACCTTTACTTCCAGAACACCCGGTCTACTCACACGTTATTCTACCTCACCTCAGGTCATGCCACATACACCCCACATGAGGACTGCCTCTGCCCACACACAACTACCTTACCCCACCCACTTCACTTACCTGACCCCTCAAAACACCTACCTTACCTGACCCCACAAAACACCTACTTTACCTGACCCCACAAAACACCTACTTTACCTGACCCCACAAAACACCTACTTTACCCCACACACCTCACCTTACACCTCAGCCAACACAAACAGCTACCTCACCATACACGTAACCACTTTGTATGCTCACTACCTCACCCACACACTACTACCTCACCATGCACACACCACTACCTCACCCACACACAGCTATCTCACCATGCACATACAACTACCTCACCATGTGCAGACTACTATCTCACCATGTGCAGACTACTATCTCACCATGCACGTACAACTACTATCTCACCATGTGCAGACTATCTCACCATGTGCAGACTACTATCTCACCATGTGCAGACTACTATCTCACCATGTGCAGACTACAATCTCACCATGCACATACAACTACCTCACCATGTGCAGACTACTATCTCACCATGCACATACAACTACCTCACCATGTGCAGACTACTATCTCACCATGTGCAGACTACTATCTCACCATGCACATACAACTACCTCACCATGTGCAGACTACTATCTCACCATGCACATACAACTACCTCACCATGTGCAGACTACTATCTCACCATGCACATACAACTACCTCACCATGTGCAGACTACTATCTCACCATGTGCAGACTACTATCTCACCATGCACATACAACTACCTCACCATGTGCAGACTACTATCTCACCATGTGCAGACTACTATCTCACCATGTGCAGACTACAATCTCACCATGCACATACAACTACCCACCATGTGCAGACTACTATCTCACCATGCACGTACAACTACCTCACCATGTGCAGACTACTATCTCACCATGCACATACAACTATCTCACCATGCACGTACAACTATCTCACCATGTGCAGACTACTATCTCACCATGTGCAGACTACAATCTCACCATGCACGTACAACTACCTCACCATGTGCAGACTACTATCTCACCATGTGCAGACTACTATCTCACCATGTGCAGACTACTATCTCACCATGCATGTGCGTACTACTACTACCTCACCATGTGCAGACTACTATCTCACCATGTGCATACTACTACTATCTCACCATGTGCAGACTACTATCTCACCATGCACGACTTAAACCATGCTATCTCACCATGTGCAGACTACTATCTCACCATGCACTGCATAACAGACTATCTCACCATGTGCAGACTACTATCTCACCATGCACTACTACAACTACAATCTCACCATGCACAGACTACTATCTCACCATGTGCAGACTACTATCTCACCATGCACATACAACTATCTCACCATGTGCAGACTACTATCTCACCATGCACACACAACTACCTCACCATGTACACTATAACTACCTCACCTAAACATACCAACACTACAAGAATCACCTCATCTAATCAAACGCACATAGGACACTCTCGACCATGACCCTCATTGCTGTTGGCTTAAAAGATAGCGATATTGAATTGTCATCCGCGTTAAGGCTCATGTATTGATTGAAGCACCTGTAAAATATGCCTTGCTTGTCTTGCAAGCGAGGTTGGTGTTGTAGCTCTTTGTAAGTCTGTCTCGCAGTCCCGGACCACATAGTTGTCCC